AATAAGCAATATTAAAGAAATCTAGAACAATCATATCAATAATCATACACATATCAACTCAATCTATCAATCTCGAACAAATCAGAAATTATACGAAAATCGGGCAGAGCAACGGCAGTCTACGGAATTTACACAAAAATCTCCAGAAATTACAGATCACCAAATTAATACAGAACGTGCACAGCAACATTGTAAAACTAATCTTCTACTGCACAAACCAATTCAGATATCATAATAATTTGCAGTCAAAATAAAACTACGCAGAATCAAAACGGACCGGACGAAATCTTCCAGAAAATACTTAAAACGTACAGAATAATCACATCTACAACATACCAAAAGTTATGCGGTGAAAGTTGTGCCAAATCAAAATCAGGTCAAAAGTTCGACTACGAAAACACAAAACAATGCACAACTCGGTCAAAACACAAAATCTTCGAAAACAGAAATAGGATTCGGATTCCTTACTGCGAGATAAACAAATCTTCTAACTACGCCGTCGGACGAAAAGCGCTCCGTGAGCTCCAAAACCAAGCTTCTCTTTCTCTTTCCTTCTCTTTCTCTCTCCTGATTTCTCTTTCTCTCTCTTCGAAATGAATAAAAATATCTCAATCGGATATTTATTAACACTGATCGTCCCGGACAATCCAAAATTCGTCCTGGGACGATTTGCCTCGGGCAGAATTTTGTACAGACGAAATTAAAATTCGTCCCGGGCGACATGCTCTCTGGACAAATTTCGTCCAGACGGATCGTCCCGACGCTCTAGGTTCGTACAGACGAAAATGACAGATTTCTTCACAAATTTTTTTAGTTCGTCCCGTACTAAATCCAGTTCGTACAGACGAACTGCACTAAAAAAAAACAGCTTTTTAAGGGTTTTACACCCTCGACTACATTTCCTTCAACTATCGTCTCCCGATTACGATTAGTTCGACCGCCATCACATACTGACTATAGTTCCTTTGACCTCGATAATCAACTACAATATCTTCAATCAATTTTGTCTGCCTACGATCTTTTCAACCTCTATCTTTGACTACAATCCTTCTAACATATGTCACTCACTGACTATAGTCCCTCTAACCACGATTGCCTACACATTGTTCTATCGACTAAATGAACATATCAATAATCTCTTAAAAAATAATTCTCATGTCATTGGATCATCCAAATAATAATGTAATATATTTTATACAATATATATTTAATGCATTGAGCCAACACCTTCCCCCGAAAGATGGAGTTATTCATAATCAATATCCAACGGTCTTGGCCACATTATAGAGAGTTCAATGCGAGCTCCCATCGTGACTTCTGATCGGACAGCAAAAACGTCACAGAAGAACTCCAAGTTTTGAAAATTCCTAAATTAGGACACCTTCACAAGCAAAGCAAACATGAATAAGAAGCATCCTACAATAGAAAATAATCAATAAAAGAGGAGCCAACCGATTACAAGGCCATCCAATGATTGTGAAATATGCCACATTAGAGAGAGCTCTATGCAAGCTCCCATTGTGATTGAACTAAGAGAGTTCAAAAAAGCTCCCCTCGTAAAAGAAAGTGGAAGGTGAATAAGCTCCTTGAGTGACACTTTGAAATTAACATGAAGTCGAAGATGGGAAGATGGTAAGAAGGAGTGGAATTTGAAAAATCACAAAATCAGATGGTGGGGATTTATTTTAAAAAAATGAAAAAAAAAGGACAAGGATTGCTCTATGGCTGAATCACAAGCTAAATTTTAAGAAAAGAAGATGACTTGTGTGGTTTCTCATGTCATTACTTCCGATCCAACATGAACATCATAGAAGAGGGCGAAGAAGATTCTTCATTGACTCTTTAAAAATATTTTCATGTTAGGTTCACGTAGAAGACAAAAAAAAAAAAGCACCGAATAACCCTACTCCGGATGAAAGATTTCACCATCAACAAATTCAGGAAGGAAACATACCTCGGTCTAAATGAGATTAGGCATCTTCTTGAGTCGCATCCGACGATGGAGCTCCGACAAAACAGCGATATGTCAATGTCGACATTATCTCTCAGAGTGTGGGTCCAACTAACCTCTAATATGAATGCATCAAATTGCTTCATCTTAAATCTCTTCATTGGAGAAAATCGAAATATAGGAGAAGCTACATATTCATTGAATGAATGAGATCGAAATGTATTGAATAAGCATCTATGGATTTAAAGAGGTGCATCCCAATGAGAGAAAAAATTGAGCAATTGAAGAAGAAGCATTAATAACTGAACAGTCGAAGAATAAGTGTTTGGATTCAAAAAAAAAAATCTTTTAAAGCCTCATTTTCTTCTTAGATAGAGAAGGAAATAAAAATTTATTATCGAGGATGAGGGAAGCTGAAGGGATTTAACTTATTTATTATATAGAATATATATTTTTAAAATTATTAAAAAAATTAAAGGTTCAAGCTAATTTTTGAAGAAATAGAAAGGATGACCAAATTTTGATGAATAAAAAAATTCAAGCTGTTTTTAAAGAATTTATAAATTAATGTATTTATTGATAAATAGAGGTAACATGTAGCCATTGGAGGCCACGTGGGCAATGGGCCCAACAGCCCCATCAGCCCGTACGACATGTCCTAACTAGCTGCCACATCTCCATTAGAAGACAGATCGCCCACGTGCAGAACATCTAAGAAGAATTACTCCTAAATAATTTATTTTAAATAGCCTTCCTAAAAAAAAAAAAAACTCCTGAGAAAAATACAAAA